TTCATCTCTTCCCTGCAGTTATGGATATTGATGCTGTTGGAACATTCACAATGTGCTACGAAGCACTCAAGTATCTTAAAAAAGGAGGACCAGGAAGGAGCTCATCTGGTGGTGGAACAATATTGAACATTAGTGCTACTTTACATTATACAGCTTCTTGGTATCAAGTCCATGTAGCAGCCGCGAAGGTTTGTTTGATAGGTTTTTAGTTGTTATATCTTATTTTTGTGATAAACTTATTGAAGTATTCCTTTCCAACAGGCAGCGATTGATGCCACTACAAGAAACTTGGCATTGGAGTGGGGAGCTGACTATGACATTAGGGTGAATGGAATAGCTCCAGGCCCCATTGATGATACGCCTGGCATGAGTAAACTTGCACCTTCAGAGATAAATAGCAAATCTAGAGATTACATGCCTTTGTATAAACTAGGGGACAAATGGGATATTGCTATGGCCGCTCTGTACCTTGCTTCGGATGCAGGTTGGGTAACCCTTGCATGCAATTTTGTATCATCGCCATATTTGTACAGTACCTCGTGCATAATCGTAAATTTTCATGCCGAAACCAGATAAAATGATAGTTTGAGATAATGCGTCTCTACGGGTTCCATATGTATCTGATATACACATTGTTCTTGATTGATGCTTCAACTTTTTAGTATCATCACGGTCCTATTATTCTTTCGGTGGAATAGAGCATGGATACGTAGCTTAAGTCAATAGGAAATAGTAGAAACAAATCATTGAACCAGTTTTGTTACCCATCTCTTTTCCCCTTTGTTTCATTGGAAACTTATCATTATAAATTTTGCAGGGAAATTTATAAATGGAACTGTCATTATAGCTGATGGAGGACTTTGGCTGAGCCGGCCTCGCCATCTGCCAAAAGATGCGGTGAAGCAGCTTTCACGATCAGTAGAAAAGAGATCTAGAGATGCACCAGTAGGGGTTCCAAGGAGCAAGTTGTAAGGCATAGAATAAGTACATGATCAAATTT